CGGCGGCACATTTTTTTGAATTTTTTTCCTTTTCAACGGCGATTCTGGGGATTTCGTATTTTTTTCGAATTTTTTCGCAATTAGTGTGCTGTGTCGATTGTTGACAATCGACAAAAATCGACGAAAATCGTCAAAATCGGTGTCGATTTCGTCGACTCGATCAAAAATCGACATTCAAAAAGTCGACAGAAAATCGACTTTTCAAAAGTCGATGAAAGTGAAAATCGACAAAAGTCGATTTTTGTCGATTTTGAATCGACTCAAAATCGACAAGAATCGACAGAAAATCGACAGAAAATCGACTTTTGTCGACTTTTGTCGACTTTATTGTCCGAGAGGACTACACGACCGGTGACCTAGAAACTGCCTGTGACCGGGGTATTTTTCATGAAAAACAGGCATTTTTCATCGAATTTTCCACTGAAAAACCGTATTTTTCTTGTTTTTTTTTGAGTGTTTTGTTTTTTTTTCTGTTTCATTTACGACATTCTTGCTTTTTGCAGATGTATTCGTCACAAAATCAATCTAAAGCGTGGCGATACTTCGAAAAACAAAATAACGGACAAACTGTGACCTCAGTTTTCTCATCTCACTACCTACGCGTCGTCTCAAGACCAACGATCTTTTTTAGGACGATGCCTGTGTGATGAAACTGTATCAAGGAAGGCTTTTCAGAATTAAAAATAACTAAAATATAATATTTTAGGTATGAATCCTATGTGGAGAACGAGTCTCTTTTAATGTCCACCTATCTCGACCCGCGTTTCTCTTATGTGCCGGATCTTCTTATGAGAGTACGCTGGACAGAAATCGAAGAATCAATTGCGCTTTATTCTGGTATTCTATTCTGCTGAAACACAGTTAACTATTTTCTTGCAGAGTCATTGATTATTGTGCCCACATCAGCACAGCCCCCAGTTCCAAAAAAAGCACACGTTGAAGAGTCTAGTTATGCGAAATTTGTGCAATCCAAGAGACTATCAGTCGGGGGAAGTAGCATCCAGGTATATTTTCCTGAAATTTTGGTTTCCAAATCAATGAAAACGTATATTCAGGCGGAAATGGCGAGCTACAAGGCACTTGTGGTTGCTGGAAGACCAGCCTTGGATTCTGACCCAGTTACTTTTTGGAGAGCTCACAGAGATAGATTCCCGCTTCTTCAAAGAATCGCTCTGCATTTCCTCTCGCCCACGCAGTCTAGTGCAATTGTGGAAAGATCGTTTAGGTGGGAATCGGTTTATAAAAACTACGTGACCACTTCATTATAGTGTCTGCGGCTCCATCGTTAACAATAGCCGAAGAAACAGGATGAAACCGAAGACTCTTAACCAGCAACTTCTTTGTGCGGCATTGGCTACTTTGGAGTAAGATATTAAAGTTTATTATTCCTCAAAATCTGAGTTTTCTTCAGATCTACGACGAAGGAAAATACGTCGACGACTGAAGAGTACGAATATGACGACGAGAATGATGACTCAGAAGGCGAAGAATATTACGAATCTAGAGAGCATAACGACGATACTTTTGGAAACGATTGGCCCAAATAATGAAACATTAATTCCTTATGCTGAACTTTGTTCTTCTTCTTCCCTTTTTTTTAATTTTGTCGCTTTGAATTTTCTTCTATTTTCCTTGCCATCATATTTTGTACCCCCGTTGAAACTAAGTTTTACACTATTTGTTTTTTATCCATAAAAATAAAGTTGTTACTCTAAAATAAAGTTGTTACAATGATTTCTTCAAAAAATTAGAAAAAAACATTTCTCGAGGTGAAATTTTACTTTGAAGTCCGGAAAAGTCGATTTTTCGTCGACTTTCGTCGATTTTTTGTCGACTTTTGTCGATTTTTCTGTCGACTTTAAGTCGACGCAAAATCGACAAAAGTCGATTCTTGTCGACTTTTGTCGATTTTTGTCTACGCAAAATCGACAACGGAAAGTTCGATTTTCATCGACAAATAGCCTTTTCGAATTTTTGAATGTCGACTGTGTCGATTTTCAAAGTCGACAAAAATCATCGATTTTCGAGTCGACTCGGCACTCTATTCGCAATAATATTCTGAAAATAGATAAATTTTAACACATTTTGATGCAATAAAAAAATTGACCGGAGTCCCCCTTTAATAAAAATATAAATAGCGTTTCAGTTCAAGTACACTCAAGCGGCTGTAGCTTGCTCAAATTTCTTATCAGATGCCGCATGTAACGTTTTGTACCCAGATAGAGGAGGATATCCTCTTCCGGATCGTCATCATGATAGACCACTCCCCTGTTATACCCGTTCCACAACAATGCCAGCTAATATAGTAGATGATATGAAGATAGCGGCAATTGCGACCTGTCCCAAACATTGTGCTTTGTGCTGCCAGACGCCTGCATATAGTTGTTCGAATGTGGCATGTGAGTAAGAAACTTAGAGATTGAAGAAAATGAAAAATCTATTGGCTTAAAATCAGAACATTCCTCTAATTCAATAACTATTCTAGTCCCTCGTCTCAACTGCGCCACAATCACTTCATCCCAATGTAACTCGCCAACATGGCGTGTGATCATCGCTCAAGACTGCCCAGCATCTTGTGGATTCTGCAACGAAGGAGGATGTGTGGACGCTGTCACCAACTGTGAGACAGACCTTTCCATCTGTACCACTGTTGGCATGCAAGACTTTGTCAATACATACTGTCAAAGGACCTGCAATAGATGTCCATCCACCACTGCTGCTTCTGGTATCGTAACCTCTACAGGATCATCCACTGTAACATGCACATCATATATCGCTGACACTACCACTCAATGTGCCGCCTGGGCCGCTAATGGATTCTGCACTAACACCTTCTACACATCGGCTCAACGCAGAGCGAGATGTGCAACTACTTGTAGAATTTGCTAAACCCCGACTCTTTCAAAACTGACACACATTTAATGTAATTTATTAATTTATACGGACCTGACCAATCCATTTGTATAATGAAGTTACTAGTGAAATTGCGGAAACAAAGAAGCTGCTAAAAAATAGGACAGTTGTTCAAAAAACCGATCTAATGGTAAGCTGAATAAACACTGATTCAAAAAACCATGTTCATAGTACACAGAGTGTACTGGTCGCAGTAAAAGTCTAACTAGTAACTAAAATGAAACATTTTAAAAGCTGACATTTTTTTTAATTGGCATCTTTGATGGGTTTGTAAACTTGTTCCCAGACTGTCTTATAGTTAGAAAGTACACAGATCATATTGTCATTTTTAATAGGTCTAATATATGATGAACAGTTTGAAGTTTGAATTTTATTTGAGATTTAAAGATAGCAAGCATCCAAAAATCGATCTACAATGTCATGATCCTTTCAAACTAACAAAATTTATGCTTGTTATCAAACGAACTTAAAAAAAGATCTCTTGAGATATCCACTCTATTTCCTTATCCTGATTGACATGGCTTTGGAGTAGTAACCGAACAACGGCCACAAGTTCTACGACAGTTCTGATTGACGAATTCTTGCATTCCAATCGCATTACAGATTGACATATCGTTATCACATCCAACCACAGCATCGATGCATCCGTTCAAATCACAGAATCCGCAAATGTTCGGACAGTCTTCGGCGAGAATTTGACGCCAAGCTACAGACAGGCACATGCTTCTTGAGACAGTGGAGCAGGAGACACGGGGGACTGAAAAATGCTTGAATTTTTTATATTAAAACTCGCATTGAGCCCAAATTGAGCTCATCAACTCACATTGAGCATTTCTGCAGCTATAAGCAGTAGTTTGACAGCACAGTCCGCAGGTTTTTGGGCAATGAGCAATCGCGGCAGTTTTAGCGTCGGTATTAATAGCAGCTGGAGTTGCTGCAGCCAAAGTATAACACAAAAGGGGTCTATCTGCATTTGACCCTTCAGAAGGGTATCCGATACCATAGCTTCGCTGAGGGTATGTAACGGAACAGAAACTATCAGAGAGGACGTTGGAGCAAGCAACGGCTGACGGAGCCCACACGAACTGAAAATTGGGATTATGATTATTGAAGTTTGAGATTATTTCACTTACAAATGTTCCATTGTACACTGTACAATTCAAGTCTCCTGAAATCACAGCATCTCCCATTGGGAACAACAGAGAAACCAGTACGGTAAATATCACTAACATTTTTTCAATACTATGAAAAATTGTTGATTACGTCTGCCTATTTATGTCAACTAGGGGTTTGTTTTGTTTATTTGTTTGTTTGTTCAGATTGATAGTTTTGTTGGGGACAACGAACGGTGCCAAGTTCGGAATGGTAGGATGTATAAACATACAGTAATCCAATTAGTTTGTGACCGAATGAACAGTTTGGTTAGCTGTGAGCTTTCAAACATCTAGTCAATGAGAGATAGATTTTCATCTAGATTTTCAATGCCGATTATTAACTTCGCTGCATTCTTATTTATCAAAATTAAGTATTTTTTTACAAGCCAAAGCCGTCCTAAAAATATTTCATCGGTTTTTTCATCCGGATTTTTGACTCATTAGCTACACGGGCGGGTCCCATTAAAGCTAAGCGGCTCCAAAACTTTAAGCCAATTTTTCTCGGTAACTGTAAAAGGTATTTTATTTATTTATTTAGATAGTTTATCAAAAAAGATATCAAAAAACTTTGGAGAACAAGAAGGTATGATATCAAAAACATATCATAAGTTAAAATTTTCTGACAACTCGGACGGAGATAAGGTTAAAGGTTGTAAGGTTAAAGGAACACTCTTTAAAGGGGTTTCACAGATCTCAAAATGGAGAATTTAATTGTTATTAAAACGTGATTAAAAAAATGTATTTCTAGATAAAAAAAACAATAAAAACGCATTTAAATTATAAAACCAAGAAAATTACGTGAAATGGTTTAGAAGCCTGTGACCTCAGGAAGATTAATATAAAAGAAGAGGAAAGTGGAGGGAAGAATCAGTTCTCACTTTCTCTGGGCTCCAGAGAGGTGGGTCCCTGGGTCCCTGGGTCCCTGGGTCCCTGGGTCCCTGGGTCCCTGGGTCCCTGGGTCTTTAGGTCCCTGGGTCCTTAGGTCCCCGGGTCCTTGGGTCCCTGGGTCCTTGGGTCCCTGGGTCCTCAGGATTTAGACCTAGAGGTCAAGCTGGAGCTGGGATCCAGGAGCACGAAGCCATGAACACGGAGACAGAAGATAAGGTGGAGGATCTAGAAACGAGCGGAGTGTTCTGAGAAAATCTACGGAAAATTCAGACAAACTATTCAATTCCTGGAACTGAAATCAGGCAATTCATGCATTCGGAGCTTTCCTGATGGTTCAGACTAAAAATAAGAATAAATCACGAGCAGGTGAACGTGTCAAATTGCTTAATAGGTTTCAGTTTTTAGTCTTTAGATTCCTTTCTGAAAGTACAAGTTCATGAGCAGGTGATTGTACGAAAGTTCTAGGTTTCTCTCTTTGTGTTCTTTCTGAGTCCGGGACTCTTTTGTTTCTTTGTGTTGCCTTGGTTTGAGAATAAACCGTTAGTTTATTCTAAATCGTGTTCGTCATTTTCGTTTCTCGTTTCTCTTTTTATACAGATTTTGGAGAGAGTTTGTGAGGCAGGCGATCCCTGACCGAGCAAACCCTTTTTGAAATTGACTAAATGATTGACCTTATCATTTCTGTTTGGAGTTGTATCAAAATGAATGATGAAAATTTTTGTTGCGTACCCTCTGAGATTTTCAAAGGCTCCAACTGTCCGGGCCTTAACTAATTTTCGAAGGCCCGGCATGACCCGTCGCAACAATGGAATATATCGCCCACAAGTTGAAACTTTCTTTTTTTTATTGTAATTTTTCATGTGGTGAATGCATTTGTTTATTAGATGGATTAAGAAAACTAAAAATTAGTTAGCGGTCTTGTGAAAGTCTTAGTAAAAGGAGAAGTCTTTGTAGATGGAGAAGCCGTCGGGCGTTGTGTAGATGTTGTAGTAAATCCTGTCGTACATCTCTTGCATGTCCGACGACAATTCAAATTGACATAATCTTGCATTCGTGGATTCGTACAAACCTCCGGAGCTTTTGGACACTCAGGATTCAAATCATAGCAGTCGCCACAGTAACCGCATGTCGCTGGACATTCTTCTGCCAAGAAGTCACGCCATTGTGGAGATACGCATTGTGCTTGGGTTACTGTCCAGCAAGCCATGTTCACTATAAAAAACAAGAAATCTGAGGATCTATGAATTCTATCAAGTTACCATTCTTATCTTGGCAATTGAAGGCATGGGTTTGACAACAATAACCACATGTTTTTGGGCACAATGCTATTGCTGCAGCTTTCGCATCTTCATCAATAGTCCCAGGTGGGGTAGATGCGAACGTGTAACATTGCATGGGTCGGTTAACTCCACCACCTATCGCAGGGTAATACATACTGGGGTATCTGGATTTACAGTAACTCTCATCTGCGACATCTTGACAAGCAACTGCTTGCCACGAATAGACAAACTGAAATTTCAAATTAAATTATTAGGTGAAAGATATCAGACTCACTCCATTGGGATTCCACTCTGTACAATTATGATCATCTTTTATTCTAATTATTTCAATAGCAGAAAAAATTGGGAATAGAGCCAATGCCAAAAGAATCATGATGGAATATATGAGAATGTTTGCCATACACGATTTTTATATCGAAAACTCGAATTAATCTCTGATCGGTTTGTTCAGATGTCCATGGGGGTGTCAACCCCTAAGTGGAGAATCAGTTAAGTAAATAATGGAAAAGATATATTAAATGAAAACATAAATGAGGAGACAAGGTCAGCCTACATACACTCTAGTTTTAGCTCATGAACCGTAAAACCTGTGATAGAAGTGCCCAAGCCGTCTATTCTGAGCCTATGTATCTTCTTTCCTGAAAAAGATATCACAAAGTGTCAACTGATAAACTGTTTATCATGATATCAGCAGTGTTTTGTCAATTAACGCATTTTTGGTATCTTGCGTAGGAATTGAGATAATTGAGCTCAAACTTAACAGTATTAGGAGCCTTCCATTACAGGTTTTACGGTAGGTTCGGTTGATATCATCTTGTGGGTCAGTATTTTTCTGGTCCAACGTCAATGCGGATTGCGACCAAAAATTAAAGGGTGGGCGGAGTTAGGTAGCAAAATCCTTAAGGGATTCTGAACTTTTTGTAATTATTTTCTGGTTTATATTTTTCGATTTTTCTCTAATTTTTATTGGTTTTTTTGCAATTACGGTTCGCAAGGTTTTTTGAAGTTCAAAATCGATGAAAATGATTACGAAAAATACAACTTTTAAGGATTTTGCTATCGAACCTAAGCTCCGCCCACTTTCAATTTTTCAGCGGCAGTAAAATTGGACGAGAATAATATTACTTCAGTCTTCAATAAGCTCACTACAGCTACAAAAATATCCCTAGAGATACAAAAAAAATGTAGCAGCTTGCAGCACCGTAGTTCAGCTGGTAGCGGCGCGGCAATTCCATTGACTAGCCAACAAG